CTTTAGTACGCGGAGTATCTGGGGAGCTGGAAGATGAGAACTGGCGAAGTTCTCATCAACTTTAGTACGCGGAGAATATGGGGAGCTGGAAGATGAGAACTGGTGACTTTGTAGTACAACTGTAGTACGTGGAGCAGTCTGTGGAGCTGGAACCTGAGAACTGGCGACTTTGTAGTACAACTTTAGTACGCGGAGAATCTGGAGAGCTGGAAAATGAGAACTGGCGACTTTGTCGTACAACTTTAGTACGCGGAGTATCTGGGGAGCTGGAAGATGAGAACTGGCGACTTTGTAGTACAACTTTAGTACGCGGAATGTGGGTAAGCCAGCACGCTGGCTGCCATTGTCCAGATGGCAAAGCCAGCACGCTGGCTACCATCATAGTTGAAGTGGGTAAGCCAGCACGCTGGCTGCCATTGTCCAGATGGCAAAGCCAGCGCGCTGGCTGCCATTGTCCAGATGGCAAAGCCAGCACGCTGGCTGCCATCATAGTTGAAGTGGGTAAAGTGGGTATGAGCCAGCACGCTGGCTACCATCATAGTTGAAGTTGGTAAGCCAGCACGCTGGCTGCCATCATAGTTGAAGTGGGTAAGCCAGCACGCTGGCTGCCATCATAGTTGAAGTGGGTAAGCCAGCACGCTGGCTGCCATTGTCCCCTTACCAGCAGCCCAAATGCTCACGACGATGAGCTGGGCTGTCACCGCTTGGCCGCCGGTGGGGGGTTTGGGAGGCCGCATCACACACAGACACCCACACACTCCCTCAACTTACACGACCGGCGCGGGCATGTGGTGATGCAATTGTTGGGATGGCAAAGCCAGCACGCTGGCTAGCATCATAGTTGAAGTGGGTAAGCCAGCACGCTGGCTGCCATTGTCCAGATGGCAAAGCCAGCACGCTGGCTGCCATCATAGTTGAAGTGGGTACGAGCCAGCACGCTGGCGACCATCATAGTTGAAGTGGGTAAGCCAGCACGCTGGCTGCCATCATAGTTGAAGTGGGTAAGCCAGCACGCTGGCTGCCATCATAGTTGAAGTGGGTAAGCCAGCACGCTGGCTGCCATTGTCCCCTTACCAGCAGCCCAAGTGCTCGCGACGATGAGCTGGGCTGTCACCGCTTGGCCGCCGGTGGGGGGTTTGGGAGGCCGCATCACACACAGACACCCACACACTCCCTCAACTTACACGAACACACACATACGCAGACTCATTTCCACACGGACATAGACACACGCACAGAAACCCACACACTACCTCAACTCACTCGACTTCACACTTCTCACTGCACACTTACCGGATAACTCGCACTCTGACTTCCTACGTGATGAAAAATGCTTTCGGGCCACTCGTCGTCTAGTTGTTTTCTCTTCATAGCCACACATCGTGTAGCTCGACTTCTGTTCAGATCTCTCAAGCCGGAGACAGGCTGAGTAAGAATTGACCCGTGTAAAAAAGCATTAAACGCATGTCGTCCAAAAACAGAAAGAACAACGCCGAAAAACGGCGTCCCACCTCGACTGGAGCTTGCTCGGTTTCTTCACCGTCCGCAGGCGGTGGCGCCTGGTGTCACAAGGTGGTGATCTCATTCAGACTCAGCGGTGGCGAGTTTAACGAATTGGATGGAGTCTCTATGAGTCTCTCAGAGAATTGGGGCAAACGATTCCGAAAGAAATCCATGGCACAGCAAATGTGCCCTGTCAATGACTGGTGGTTTGTTGGTGGTGGATGTTGGTTTTCTTTTTGCCTTGGAGGGCTCAGCGCCTCTTTTTCACGGCGCTCCGCCATGGACTTCTGCTTGACCTGTCAAACATGCTGATAGAGAGAGCAACCTTAAATTAAGTACAAAATCTCATGCCCCCCCAAAAAAAGGGCGTCCAGAGGGTGTAACCTTCACCTTTAAAAGAGATTAGACTATCCTAGCACAACAAAATAATGCAACAAATTCATAAGAAACCAACTAAGAAACCAGGATAACTACTGCAAATGCATACAAAAGCATTCTTTTCTTGATTCGAGTCGTGCCTCGAGTGCGTCATAGCCCTTGAAGATCTCCTCGAAGATGCCTAGCCGGGTCTGAATGTCCTCCTCCTGAGCAAGCTAGGGGCGGACACGCTTGGTCAACGGTGGCAAGTTGATGATTAATGATATAACATCCGCTCTGGAACTACAGGTGAACCTTGAGAATCGATTCTATAGTATCAACGGCAGGGGATGATATAGCTTTTCAAAAGAGCAGTGGTCAATCATGGTCAATCTATGTCATATCATCAATTAACATCATGTCCATCTTTATCCATCATTTCAAGGGCTGGAGAGCATGGGCAAAGTATTGTTAAGCCAGCGTCCCCCATGTCAAAACCCTGGTGTGAAACCACATCTGGACCTCTGATTTTGCAGCCACTGTTTCCCCAAAGCATCCCCAGCGCAAAAAAACGTCGCGCCTTTAGAACGCCCGGCCAGGTCTAAAACCTCCGAAAAAGTCGTCCAACCCCCCACCATCCCGCCACCAACCCACCAAAAGCGGCGGCGGTCGAAAGCGACTCTTGGTCGCGGCGATAGCACCGAGCATCGGTCAGAGAGGGCACCGGCTCGGGAGGGACCTCTGCCGCCTGAGGTACGTCGAGCGCACGTGCGCACGTGCGCAGCCCACTGCCGACGAGAAGGAGATGGGACGGGTCAGACCCCCAACCAGAGAGGCTTATATAGTAGGGTCCTCCCACGAAATGTGTTGGAGATCAACAAGAAGATGATAGAAGATGTATACCAGCTGTGGCAGGCTTCTATGTCTGTGTCGCACCTTTCAGTCACATGTTTCGTGTCACCCACGACACGTAAAATGATGCAACACCACTATCTGAGCCTCAAAAGCATTCACCATCATTCACTCCATCCACTTCTCCACTCCATCGCTTCACTCCACCTGGATTGCTTCGCGCCGCCGTATCAACCGCGCCCGTCTACGGCGGCCTCTTCCTCTGCCATGGGCGGCCTCCTCGCCGGGCCCAGCGGAGCGGCATCCGAATGGTTCCGAACACGTGAGGTTCTTTTCGTGATCGGAACATGATCGCCAACCAAAAGATCCGAAGGTAGAAGGAAACTTCCGAATTGCGAAGTTGTTTCAACCATCCGAAGAGTCCTTTTCGCCTCCCAACCGAGGGTAGGGATACACAGACGTATCGAATAAGTCATGCACGCCACAACCGTCGTCTTCATCCGCCTGACAGCACCAGTTGCACCAGGCCGGACCAGCCGACAGGACTTTGAGCCGAGTGGCATATGGATAAGGCCGACAGACCCAGTTCCGAGGCCGAACCTGAAAACGACGTCGGGTCGTCGAGGAACATTGGTGGCTTCCCTTGAATTGAATCTGCAGAGGGGGCATGGGGCGCATTCTTCGGGGTTGGAAGTGGTATAAAGCATAAGGCCAAAGCCTTGACCCCAACAACCACCATTGTTGTCGTATGAAAATACAGTAACAAACAAAAATCTGCAAAGTCAAATGAGAGCTTGTTGTCCATTCCATCCCTTTTGCGCACTGCTGAACATGAGTTCATGTCCTGCCAGAAGTGGCAATGAGAGACTATCAACTATCTTGCACTCACCAGTTGTAACAGAATGCAACTGTAACTGTATGCATGTGAATAAATGTGAGTAGATGTGAATAGATGGAACACAGCTGAACACGGACGAACTCCTGAGATACTGTAGACGATAAGTGCTTCATAGTGCTTCCGTATACATGGCCTACATGGCCTCCTTTGGTGAAAGAGCGAAAGAATGCACGTCATGCTGTTCTCTGATCTTGGCGAACGACAGAGCAAAAAGAGAAGCATCAGCGTCTAAGACGTGTCGACAAATGACGGCCTTGACCAGAAACAACGCCCAGGTCAGAGTCTCTGATGGTCAGAGAAACAAATTGCAAAATGGAGACAATCTCCATGAGATTTGAAAATTTGGGAAAGCAACGCAGGCTTTTTCTCGCGTTCCCGTCCTCGGTGAACACCTGCACCTGCATGCCGCCAATCGGTACTGACCGACACAAAAATTTCATCTTGGTGAGACAGGATCTGTTGCATTCGCCCTTTGGGCGGCAACCTACATCTGCACCGACCTACTTTGTTCCACGTCTTTAGGACGGACACCCGACCTACTTGATCATTTCCCGGTCCGCATTCTGTCACATGAAGGATGTTCTCACGTGTAAAAACCTCACTTCTTTGGGAAACGATGGTGCTTCCGTTTGGCCAAACACTGGCACTCGACCCTGTCAGGAAGGGGGAGGCACGAGAGTCGCGGTCGCTGGATCGCGACTCCGGAGATGAGCTCGCTTTTCAAACATCGCTGTGAAGGCTCCAGTCTTCGTCCGTCTTCGTCTGCAGATTCGTGGACCGAGAGCTTTGGGCACCGAGATGCACGTCGGCTTCGCCTTCTTTTTCGGAGACATGGAGGAGATTGTGTTCTCTTGACACGACCACACCATGAACCCCGCGAGCATCATGCTCGCAACCTACCGCCCTCAAGGACTCCCGGGGAGGTGAGAATGACAACCCTTGGCGACGGTTTCAGTGTGTTACACTGTTACACACCTCTAACATCCTCTAACATCCAAAATAGAGGTCTTATACATTCTTCTACCAAGCTTATATAAGCTTATACCAACTTCAGATCCTATACTAGCGTAAGCCGTACACAAGTCTTGTTTCAGCTCGGCCACTCGCCTGACGTTCGCCGCTCAAAGAAGTATGCGAGTCGCCTGACGTTCGACGCGTCGTTTCGCGACACTCGTCCATCTGAAGAAGACAACTCGGTCCCTACCAGTCCTCTACATTGGGTCTTTGTAGAAGAAACCGACTCGTGCGGGTGTTTTTTTCCGGTCCCTACCAGTCTGACCGTCTGACCCAGTAAAACCCTGATCAAACTTACCTCCCTTTTTTGTAGCTGCGCTTTTGGATGACCAACTCCAGTGAGGTCAAGCTGACCTGTAGGGGGTGGTTTTGCTTCAATCTTTTTTCCAGACGCAATTGATCTGCTCGCGGTTTGTTTGCGCGAATCTGATGAGGATTCTGCAAACAGTAGTTGACCGAATCCTCCAAACAATGATTGAGGACCACCAGACTATAGACTATACCTAGGGACATTAGAATCGGTCAGAAATCAATACAAAAAAAAACATGGAGCATTGAAATTCAACATGTCACGTACCAGGACCCTCCTCGAAGTCAATGCGGCTCGTGTTCCACACAAGTTGATAACTGACCCTCTAAGTTGAAGTTCAAAGCACAATAATAGCATATATATAGAGATGTAATAGGACACATGTCCACAGGTCGTGGGAATGGACTTATGATCCACCTTCGATCCTGTGTGTCAGAATTCAGACCAAACAGTTCCACAGTTCGGACTCCGCTGCAGACCGACATGACTACAGGCCTCCTCATTGCCACTCTTTCCGTGGGTCACGGTCGCATCCATGTCCTGGTGAAGAATCACAGAACCACGTGTTTTCACCACGTCAATCCATCTTTTGGTTCTGTTCTCTTCAGTTCCACCATGAGCAATGTGTGCTTGGAGACGATAAACATGACGGTTGCAAATCGGAAAAAGAGATGTGCAGTTCCATTTTAATATTTCTCTCTTTGGTTTCGAATGTTCTGAGACCTGGGCAGGATCAGCTTAATCAGCTTAGAGCTCTGACGATACGCAGCACAGGTACGCAGGTACCGCACAGCCTTGACTCGGTTTGTCACGGGCCTCGAAGTCGAAGGAATGGTACTCTTTAAACGGCTCCAGCTCCTGGCAGAACCGCCACAAACGGCGGAGCGAGATCGCAACGCGCTTGAGGAGATGAGGGATGAGAGCGTGGCCGCGTATTACGCGTGTCCCGTAACGGAGATCGATGGCAAAGCGATGTTGCTTTTCATGAAGGGCGCAGGTCTGTGATATCAATGTTTCCCAGATTCAGATGAAATGAAGAAATGAAGAAACATCCAGGCGGCTGAGCTGAGAACCTTCAGCAAGCTTTCGTAGTCAGGATTGCTGGCTTGGTACTCCAAGCAAGCCTTGCAAGTGTGGCTCTCGCGCCGCCGCCACAACCCGACAGAAAAGCGACAACCGCCCGGTGGGTCCAAATGGGTGATGTCGGGATTGTTGCAGAAGGAAGTGAAAAATGGTGCCCTGCCAGTTGCGGAAGAATAACTACCCCATGCAACTCCGGAGTTCCCCCAACATCTCAGGTTCTCCCACTTCGCGAAGACATGTTTTCACACTTGCCCTGGTTGATGACTTCAACTGATTTGAAAGTTTTTTCACTGGATTCGATCATCCCAAGTAAAGTATTCAATATCTAACCTGAAACCATCACCCAGAATCAAGTCTTGATGAGACAGTCGAGATAGACGCCCCTTCCATCCTTCGCTCTTTTTCACCCTCCCATCCTCTCCCATCCAAGTGACACGCTTCAGGCAGTCGATCCACTCGCCGGGCTTGCGAGGTGCCACAAAGTTGATGATCCACTTGGGGATGATGCCCTCAGGCATCAGCCAGTCAAATGGATATATATAGACTTTAGTTGAAGAAAAAAAACACAAGCATCGTAAGCTGACAATTCCGCTCCTTGACGTCAGTGCAAGTCATCAAGAAGACCTTTGTGCCTTTCTCGTTCCTTAGAGACGAGGGCTGGTCGAGGGATGGTACGTTCATGTATGTTCCTTGTCTGAAAGCAGATGAAAGCAGTGACTCTGTTCTTTAAACAAACAATTATGTAGATGCTTTTTTTTTTGAGTCCGGTGCCCATCATCATAGCGTCGCATGACGTAGCCAGAGGTAAATGACTCGGCACGGACGTGCCTCACGATTTGGCCACAGCAGACCCTTGATCATATCGATAGGGTGAGTGCATGAAAAGGCACCAGCGAACATTAAAAAATTGTTGCAAGCAACTGATGTTATGACATCATATGACATCATGGCGCCACAGCACTATTTTGTTAGATTGAATAAGAGTCAATGTCAATGACTCGATGATTTTTTCCCATTGCAACATATGAGCAACGTGCAAAACCTGTTGTGTTGAAGTGCGCACTCTTCCCAACGTTGACGTTTTTTGGGTGAACCTTGTCGTTCCTGAGGGTTTGGACACACCTAAAATACCTGTACTAAAACCTTATCGTGTTTCTTGTGAACCTTCTCGTTCCTGAAGGTTTCCCTCATTTTACATTACTTAGTCTCCACAGATCTCCACAGTAGTGATGCTGCCTTCAGAGGTTTTGGCAGTTGCTCATAGCAATAGCCTCTCCACATGCCGCCGACTTCTACTTGGCCCCGTGGCTTGCTGGTCTCTGGCAGCTCCGGATGGTTAGCCGATCGGAGGCTGATGAGGATCGTGCCATCCTGAGGCGGTTGGGGACTTGGACTCAAATGGATGAACGCCTGCAGTCAGCTGCAGTCAGCTGCAGTGTGATAGAAACGTGTGCAGGAAGTGTTCTCAACAGTTCTCAACTAACTGCTGATGAAGCTCTCCACGTTTTTGCTTTTTCACTCGCCAAACAACACAGAAAACAGCTGAAAAAGTTGCACCTTATAAATGTCTATATCATTCTATGTCTCTAAGTGTGGCCAACGGTCACTCAGCGGTCACGTTCCACTGACCCGTCGCTCCGTCGCTCGCTCAACCGCTCAACCGCTGCGTCCTCCAAAACCTTTGTCCTGCGGTACTGGACGTAGTCGCGAGAGGAGCACTGGGCGCGGTTCGGGCGCGGTGAAGGGGCGTGTGGATCGAAGAACTCCACACGCTGGTGGTTGGTGAGGATGGATTCATGATTCAACGCGGACTGAGGCAAGGAGAGCGGCACATCTCAGTTCAATTCCCCAAGTACTGTGGAAGGAAAGATACAATATATTGCTTCATATTGCTTCATTTTTGGGTTTGCCATCAATGGCTTACCCCATCATTTAAGAGCTATACAATGCTATACATGAGTCTCCTATGATTGCTGTGGTTGCTGTTCGAATCTTTCTTGTCCATCACCAGTGGCTTCTGGATTCTAAGGCTTGGCCCCCACCACCGAACGGCCGTGGCCATTCGCGGTGGCCACGGCCTCCGGTTCCACCGCGCGTTCCACCGTGTGTTCAGACTGGGTGGCCACGACCGCCGGAACTCGCAGGACGCTGTAGAGGATGTCAGAACCCTCGCGTCGACCACACGTCGGGTCCGGCCCCGGTGGTCTGGTCTTCGTCCCGACCGCGACGCGGGTGGTCGGGGCTATGGAAGTCCGGTCAGGTAAGGGACCATCCCCCGCAGCTGTGGAAGGATGGGTCGGAAGTTGCTCTGGCCGCTCTGGCGATATAAGCATAGATGAATGATCCCCCTTCTGAACACAAAACAAGAGAGAAACAAAAACACCAGAATGCTTGGTCTGGGGGCTTCGGAATGTCTCCGATGCTTTTGGCTGTTTCGGAACCAGCGACCTCGCGCGCGCGACGGTGCTGCAAAGTGAACGGTTTTTCGTGTGCTGTCGGGTGTGTTTGAACATCTGGAACCCCGAACCATCTCGTCGGCGTCTTCATAAGGCGCCTCGATCTCATCGACGACCTTCATCTCAAAGAACGACTTGTCCCACCTCGCGGCGGGGCGGAAGTCCTCTGTTTCTTCGTGGATCAGTTCGTGGGCGATGGATCAACCGCTGGGGGCCCGTCCGAAACCCCCCCCCTTGCCGCCCAAGGCACTGCATGCGCTTCTCACATCGGTGGAACATGTGGAAGACCACTGGCAGCTCGGCATCTGGCAGAGTGGACCAAGCCTCGAGTCGACCCTTCCGAGAGTGACACTAGATTCTGGTCACATCATTGGTTGGTCGTGCGTTCTGAAAAGGATAGTGCTCAAGACACCAATGATTCTCTTCCTGACCGGAGTAGTTGGCTAGGCTAGAGCCCAGAAACCAGCCAACAAACGAAAAAAAATAGTTAGATTTAAAAGTTACACACAGCGACAGTGGTCGGTGATGGCCGGTGCTGATCCGCTGACTTGTCTCCGCTGACTTGTCGCTCTAAGGCTCTGTGCCCTCAAGAAGAGGCAGCCCGAGCCATCCGTCTGGATGGTCTGGCGAGAGTGGTGTTGGCACGTCGTGTTCAAGCCAAACGGGCAGAACACGTCTGCCGCGCCGGAAAGAAGGAAAAAAAGAACGAAATGCTCAAGGCCAGTGGTGTTGCCTCTTCTGAACCTTTTGAGGCAGGCATGCGAGCTATCACAGAAAAGGTCAAAAAAGGTTCTTGCTTATTTTTTCATTTGAGGAACTCTCACAAACGCATCTCTGGTCGGTGAGTCTGGTTGAGAGCAAGCTTGCCCTTTCTGTCCTCTTGGGCTGAAAACTCCCACCAGAAGAATTGCATAAAACAGCTGGATGAAGAAGACCCGCTTCCATCACCGGCCTTTGCAACCTTGATTTCCTTGCGGTCAACACACATGTCCCAACCTGCCGGCAGCGGCGTAGTATGCAATAGACCCATGCCAGTAATGCATCTACAAGTGCTCATCACCAGTGAGCATAGACTGGAGTTTGCAGCAAACATTGCCTGCCTTGCATATTCTGCGACTCCTTTTCGAGCAGCAGCATGAAACTTAGCATGTTCGGTGGGGGCAGGACAAATGGAAAGCGATAGAAAAGGTGTAATTATATATAGTACTTAGTTCTCCACAAAATATCTGGCCAAAGCAGAATCCTCATGTGGTCATAGTCAGAAGCCAATTACCCAATTCATCTCGGCATTCCTTCCGACCACAACTGATTGAAGAGCAAAGGCCGCTCATGGATCTGTCAAAGGGGGCTCGTCCGAGACCCAAGCTCGCTTTGAGTGATTGGAATCCTCAGTAGCTGCGTCATGAGTCTTCAACCTAAAGCCTCAAAGCCATGAAAGCCATGTGTCTTAGATAAACTTAGCCTCTAAACATCACGCAACATCACGCAATTCGCTGACTGTCCAAGATTCTTGTGCTTGTAGTTGTTGTCAAAGTCCATGAAATCCTCAGAATTGAACCATCTTTTCCAATCCACAAAGGAAGGAATCCATCCCCCAAAAAGTGCCTTGAGGCACCATCTGCGCAGCATCGGTCGACCCCCGGTCCTCCCACGACTTGAAGAAGGGAGCTTTGAGGACGCGCCGCGTTTCGTCCAACCTGGACGGGAAGACCCGATGTACCCGATGTGGCCACCCTTGATTGCTTACTGGACAACGGTGCGCTCGGTGCGCTTCTTGCTAGTAAAGTTTGAAGATGTGCAAGATCTCCTCAGGAATCTTCTGGATTTAGTGATTTAGGTGACAACATGGTGACCACATGTAACATCTTCATATTGTGCTGTTGATTCCTGCCCCTACACCCTAAACCCATTGCAATCCGCCTCTTTTCGGAGGTGTCACTTCGCTTGTCCGAGACTTCCGACATGGACACACCTAGCTGCCAAGAGGGACGAAAAAGAGACTGCCTCAAAAGGTAAACTCGCCTCAAATGGTGAGTTATTCAAAAAAACAACATAAACTCATTAACCTCCATTTTCAAGCGATTCACTCAGTCTGCAATTTCGGGAATGCGGATGAATCCGAGGTCCGGTTCTCGAACACAATCGGTCAGTTTCTGACTTTGGAGCCTCAAAAAGGAGGACTTTAGAGCCTCCAAGACGAGGAAAGTGCGTTGCGAGCTCGGCGTTTGAAAAGGGACTGTCCACGCGCCCTGCCTGGGCGGATGCCAAGCCCATGGTCTGCATCCTGGCGCAAAGAAAACACGACACCCGGTGTGTTGGGCGAGGTTTTGGGTGGGAGTGCTTTGGGGCAGAAAGAAATCGGAGAAGAATCTTCTGAAGTTCTGGGCTAAGAGTTACAGATCTTAAAGATTCGGGCTCAGCGCCCACCCCAGCAACGATGGTCATTTCCTGGCCAACTCTGCTGGTCTAGCGCCTGGCCCTCCAGCTGACTTGCTCGACCTGGAGCAAAACGCGATCCTGAAGACCCCCACAAACATGGAGAACTACAATGAACGTATATATGTGCTTGCAAAGAGTTGTGCAACATATAGAATATGCAATCAACAACTTGATTAAAAAAAAAAAGATCTTTGGGTGCTCGTTCAGCTCGTTCAGCTCGAACCCCACAGAGGTGTTCACCCTTGAACGATGCCAATCGGAGGCTGGCATTGGGCTTGGACCCTCAATCAGATCCGAAACCTGATGCATGTTGCTGGCGTGGAGAATTCACCAAACAATCAGCGCCATCTGTGCCTCTCCGAGCATCAGCGTAAAGCATACTCTCCATGACGCCCGCGCCCTGGACAAACATCTAGCTAGCATTGGAAACGACGCGTGTGTCCGCCTTCGGTGTGTGTGTGTGTGTGTCCATTCGTGTCTATTCACCGCGATGGGCCAAGCTTTCAGAGCCTCGGGTTGCTTGGTCATCTGCTGCTGCTGCCTTAAAAACCAAAGGCATCAGTGGTAACCGTGGTACGTGAACTTCGACGTTATACGAGCTGCTACACTTTTCTGTCCTTATGATTTTCATGATTCATGTGTCTTTACATGTCGATCCAGCTTGCCAAGACACCGATGGTGTCACCCCTGCCTTTACTCTCGCACTCCGCTCCAAACCATCCGAGGCCAGGGCAGAATGTACCTGGCGAGACAATCCCTTGAGACTCGCGTGGTGAGAAGCCAAGAAACCCGGCCCCATCATCGCGATGCCGTCGATGTCATTGCATCGGTAAAAAAAGATGTAAACACTGTATTTGACGGAATTCTTGCTCTGAATGTACTCCAGACTGTTCTAATTGGCTGCTCCCGACATGGATCGTATTGGTTGAGCTTCTTGTCCCCATGTCCTTCAGGGAGCTGCGCGTGTTGCGCGGAACCGCACCCCACCTCACTGAGTTGTTTGCTAGGAGCCTTTCCACGCGGAGAACGAAGTTCTCCTGAAGTGAGTTGTGTGCTCGAAACTCCATGGGTGCAAAGTTCAAAATCTGTGTGGGTTCCTATATTACATAGGTCTAGCTAATTATACCGGGCAATTTGTCATTGTGCACTTCATCGCGTTTGACTCAGAACTTGCTGGAGCTCGACTCTTCCTAGATTTCTGATGATTCTGCAGGTATCTTTTGGGAGGTGTTCGAGGTTCAAGATTTCTCTGGTGGCTTCTGGCAACGTCAACATTCAAAATTCAGGCCCCTCTGTGAGGATCCTGCCTAGAGCTGTATATAGGTCTTGATGTCAAAACAAACATCCAACCCAGAAACCAAGGCTAGAAAATGACAAAGATGCGTTTTGATGAATTGCTTCCCATTGAGCTCAATCGTTTCAAAATTAAAAAAAAAAAGGGAAAAAGGAAACGAACCCCTCGTTGTTCAGCAGCGAGGTTTTCCGGTTCCTCCGGCTCCGCCAGTACTCGATTGCTGCAGCGGTACATGATGAGCAACGTCTGCAGCACTTGCCTTGGCAAAGCTCCCGCAATGTGCTGTGACGAGGTACCAAGAGGTGGAAACTGCACATGGCGTGGTTGGCAGCTATTTGATTCGGTTCCAACGTGAGATCTGTGGCAAAAGCCAGTATTTGGGGGTGTCGGTTCTGAAGTTCTCCAAGTACATCCTGGCGAAATTGCGACTACACACAGCAGCCAAAGAAAAAATACAGTCATGGACGAAGTCTAGGAATTAAATCCGCAATTCTCCCACAATTCTGCCCTTCTCCAGCACGGACGGTCCCCAACCGCAAGATACAGCCCTTTTTGGTCCTTGCAACAATCAATTGCTCAATTCATCTCGCAATTGAATTGGATGTCAGCACCCTTTGGCTGATCAAGGCGCCGAACGCTTCCAACGCTCAACCTCACACAAGAGATGACACGAACGACTCTTTCGACTGTGTTTCTGGGTGCGAAGAATGGAGACTGCTTGCGACCTGACAAAATACCGAACTATATGCAGAAATGGCAATGGCAATGGGTCAAAGCTAGGGGGAACTTGGTTGACCACAGGAAAATGAACAGAATAGACTACTGGGCAGGTCTGGGGTGAGTTCCGGCCTCTGGGTTAGACATGCTCCAGACGCTCCCGATCTCCAGACAGGACTGGAATCTTGACATATGCGGGGGGTCGTTGACCTACGGGGGTTCAACGTCCTACTCTGCCAGCCAATGTTTCCCCGTCACAGTGTTGGGGTACCTGAAGAAAGAAGAACAAAGGGATGGAAACCATCCAACCTCACCAGGTTCGGAAAAAAACGATTAGACAGAGTGCCCATAGTGGGCCCGGACCGGGTTGGTTGGTGCGACCCAGGTGCAGCCCTCAACAAGAACCTTCCAACACGATCAGTCAGTCTTCCAGAGCTAACCTACCCATGGAATATTTTAGCACGACATCAAGCTCCAAATAAACACCAATACAAATATCACCCACATCTGGAACAGTCCTTGCGTTTGGTCATGTTTGGTCGTCTCCTGTGAAACACAACATATATGATTCTACCCAGGGACTTAGCAACTGAAACTGAAAAAGCGATTTTCTATAGAACCGAATTGCCAGAATCATCCCCGCTCCCTTGTAATGACGAAAGGTGCCTTGCGGGGAAGCTTTGGCGAAAGACAAGACCGGAAAGTGTACGGTCTCGTCCTGCCATCGGAGTTGACTCCACATCGATGGATGGACGGGGGGATCGGCGCGCGCAGGCCCAGCTGGCGCAGTTTTCAGGTGGTTTGCCACCCATGGACCCATGTCTTGTGGAATGCTTTCAGGCTAGTTGACAGCTTAGCATGGCAGCATGAACAGGTTTCTTGTGGATTTCTTATGGCACCCTTTTGGAGGACAAAGATCTCTCCTCCTTGGCCCATAGAGGAGGCAGTCTGACGGGTCCAATTGGGTTCGAAGCATTCCCTCGCGTGACCTGCAGATCTTCCTTTGGGTTCTGTCCTCGACTGCTGCGGTGGCTTGATCTTCCAGCAGGCGGATGGAGGTGACGGGGTGCCCGGTTTCATCTGCCTGCCGGGGCCCGGTCCTCTCGCATCCTTTCGGAAAGGCCAACTTGTGCTTCTTCCCCATATGAAAATAGACCATAAAACCATGATAAACCTGCCAAGAACCCCTACATTTCTCCCAAGTTCGTGTTGGTTTGAAGCTATACTTCATGCTACTTCTTCCCGGGTGGCCCCGTCCACACCTGCGGGTCTCGCAAACGCCCCGGCGTGGGCGCGCGTGACTGCCGGGGCCACCGGAGGTTCACCGGTGCCCGGCTGGGCGTCGGCAGGAGCGGGCCTGCGATCACTGGCGCGGCGTCAGCGGACCGGTGGTGTCTGGTGGAGAGACGGTCGTGAGCGGTTTTTGAAGGGTGTTTTGAGATGTTCTGAGCAAACGTCGGGAAATCATTGGAAAAAAGGATTCCGGACATGGATCATCATGGATCAGTGTTTGGTGCTTCGTGGATGCGGATGCGGAGGATGGATGAGCATCCATCAACCAGGTTCGTCTTACTGTCACAGCAAAAGTGACAGGATTTGAAATCCTTTCGATATATATATATATATGTAATTAGGTTGAAACATGCTTGCCAAGGCACGACCACTCAAGAAGTCCTTCCGATCTGGATAGGCTGCCAAAACTTTGGGCCGTATAGTCACAGCGCTACTTTCGTCTTGCTGGACAACGTACAAGATGGCCGCCAGGTTTCCCCTTCGAAGGTCGCAGTAATTCACGCAGGAGCACACCCTGGTGCGGTTGAAGGTCCGTTGATGGAGGGATGCTACGTGGTTCCTTGCTGGGACTTTGGTGAATCCATCTGCTCAAAAGGGGGAGTACCAGCAGGCGCACCTCTTGTATGCTGTGGCTTTCGGGGGGGGTTAGGTCTTTTTCTCCCATGGCCAGATCCTTGTATCTTGCAACGCTTGACTGCTGGTGTTTCGACATTCTCACCTTCAGCATCTTGCAGTACCCAAAAAATGGGCCAAAAACATGGCCAAAAAACATGAAGACAACTCCGCAACGAACCAGCGGACTCGTTTCGCACACCGCCAAAAAAACAAGGCCACACAGATCTGTTCACTCGGTGATTTCAGCCTAATGAGACGATTCCCAAAGTCGAAGGCAAAGCCGGTGGCTGGGATTTGTCGACTGGCCACCACGGCGTTCAGCTTCTGCATCGCACAAAAGGCCTGGTCGGATTCGGTCAGCCCCCTGTTCACCGCCCCGTTCTCCGTCAAAGCTTCAGATGTGCAGCTTTCAGTCTCAGTATACCTTGTGAAGCTCATGCAGGATCAAGCCGGGACCCCCAGAAATAGCTTGTAGGCCCCACCCTAGCTATGCGGCTGTATGCGTGAGACGCATGCGTATCAACTCCTTTCATGAAGAATCCTGAAACAACAATTAAAAAGAATACCAACTCCAGTGCTGTGACCCTCCCATTCTAGATCAGTAGTTGGGGGGGTATGGGTTCGCCTTCACCTGCTCAGCCTCCCGTTCGCAGCCCTCAGGTTGGAGCAGGTCGCTCGGCCTCAGTGATGGGTTGCGGCGTCGACGAGTCCAAGAGAGGCAATTAGGATGGACAGCGGGATGATTGGAGCATGTTAATGTTGTAGTTGTAAAACAAACCAAAGGGCATGTTGTAGAATCGATCATGTTAGCGCCTGCCATACGTGGATAGATCATGATAGATCCATCGCTCGTGGCGCAAAGAAACGTGGCGCACAATTCAGGAATTCCCTGGGTGTTTCGCATTCACGCGCTGTTCCAGCAGGTGGGACCCAACTTGGAATTGATGGGCCCAACTGTGTCTAGGTGACCAAGAGAAACAAGTGGTACAAGGCAATGAAGAGAAACAAACACATGGCACAACTAGGTGACATGGCACAAACAGGCGATGACCCCCTTAGAAGGTTCGGAAAGATAGACGTCACGCCAGCGTCTACTCGGGGCGAGAGGACCCCCG